TTAATCTTTTCGAGGAACTTTCTCTTGTTTGAAGGCATACTTTCTTTTGGTTTCTCCTGACTTATTTTTCTACTTTTTATTCATTTTTCATCTGTTGGGGCTGACTAGTCTGAAACCCATCATTTTCCCTTCCTTTGCCCCATTCTCCAGTCTTGCTATGTACTTAATTCCTTAGTCTTTAAAAGATCTGTAATCTTCCCCCTACTCTGGGCTCAAAAGTCCTTTGGAGGCCCCTTTTGTTTTAATTCCTCATGTCCAATCAGATTTCAAGAGCTCCATACTGTACCTCCAAATTATTTTAGCTCCTGTTCACATCCTTCCATTCACATTCCCAGCATCCTGTAGCCTCATATCCTCTTGTTTAGACAGTTACAATATGTTGACCTGTTTCCAGTAGCTTCCTTCTCAGTTCCATTTTCTGTATCGATATTTGAGTAATCCTTAAAGCAAAGCTGTAGCTTCCTGTCCTCAAATTTTCCATGATAGTTTATATCAGAACAAATACCGATTCTTTTGACTGGCACCCTGACTTCTGATCTCTGGTATCAGGCTGATTTTCTACTGTTTCCTGAAACACATCTGTATTCCACCAAACTGGGCTTCTTGTTACTATAGGACTATACTGTCCAGTGCTGTGGCCACTAGTCATTAGTGGTGTGAGGACAGATATACAGATGATAGACCATGTATGAAAATAGAACTCTGACCCACAATCTGCAGAAAACAGCCCAGAACACCAAGCCATGATCTACAGTAACCAGCCTATCTAAACATCATATTTATAGGAAATAAGGCCACTGTGTCTAGCAACACTCCAGCAAGCTAAACAATAACCCCTGCAGGAGTAGTTCCCGAACAGCCAGGATTTGACTCATGACTGAGAGTTCCTCTAGGTTTTGTCCCTACTTCCAGCTTAGGACCAATCAGAGAAAGCCAGCTATGCACCCCCAACCAGCCACATAGGTTGCCCCACATCTAGTTAGCCCACCTCCACCTTCTCCATGTCAACAGCCTCCAATCGGGGCACACCTGGAGCCTTTCCTTTTTCCCACTATACAGCTTTCCTGCTCCTCTGTCTGCCTTTGAGTCCCTGTCAAAATACAGTTAACAGGGGCTGACTCCCTTGTCAGAGCAAACTCCGAGTAAAAAGCCTAAGCCTGTCTTCATTTGATTGGTCTTTATTTCCACAGTGGCTAGTTAAATTTAATTAAAATTATATAGAACTAAAAATAGAGTTCTTCCGTTGCACTAGTCAACTTGAAAGTGCTCAGTAGCCCCAGGTAGCTTGTAGCTACCATACTGGACAGTTTAGATATGGAATATTTCCAACATCTCCAAAAGTGTTATTGGACACTCTGCACACGTCTATGGTTTCCCACCATATGCTACTGCCTCTGCTAGAATAGCCTTCCTTCTACATTTTCACCTGCCAAACTCCTGTCCAGCCTTCATGACGTTGCTTACTTCTTCCCTCAGGAAGCCTCCACTGATTCCTCTACTTAGACATCATCTCTCATTTCTTAGATTATACCTTTCTTACAACACACATTACAGTCTTCCTTCTCGTTTTGTGATCTCTTCCATCCAGCTATCCTTCTGTATTGTAGACGCCTTGATTTTAGTTATTACTTTATTCTTGCAGGATCTCATGCTTTCTTCATAGCAGCTCCGTAGTAACTTTTCTCCCCCTTAAATGTGGTTTGGGGAAAATAAAGATCAGATTGAATTACTCACTTTAAGAAGCCATGGAATGACAGATGAATTGGATTTTATGTTTTTTTTGGGGGCATACAACTCACAAACAGCATTGCACATGGCTTTGTTCTTCCCTTTCTTGACTCTGCCTCTGCCATCCTCTAGAGGCTTTATTCAACCCAAGGAGGATGTTCATAAAGTTAGCTGGGCACAATCTCAGTCTCCCATTGTTATTTCTCAAAAGTCATGTGGGCCTTCAGGAGTCTTTTCATAGAGCAGCAACTGTGGAGGAAGCCTCAGGTCTAAGATTCCCCAAATATTTTTAGAATGGTTGACTTTTTAATTAATTAATTAATTTATGCAGAGGGTGAGGTAATTGGCTTTATTTATTTTTGGAGGAGGTACTGGGGATTGAACCCAGGGCCTCATGCATGCTAAGCATGCACTCTACGTCTTGAGCTTACTGTCCCCCCAGAATGGTTGACTTTTAATAACGTCTTCAACACACCAGGCAGATTCATGCCTCTGTGCGTTGCTCATCTTTTCCCCTTGACTGAAATATACCCCTAAGTTTTCCCGCCTTTATAACACCTCTGTTCCTGGTGAAGGTCCTTCAAATGTCAAGTTAAATACCACATTGTCTGTGAAGTCTTTCTTATTCTCACCAAACAGAGTCACTTCCCTCTCTGGCTATTTATCAATATCACCTTGGGCATCTCTTTATTCTCATTGTGGATGAATGTGAATACTAACTCTTAAAGTAATGTTACTTGAACAAACACACACTGCTGGTGGAAGGAAGTTAACCCACTTACATCTCTAAGTATTTTTTTTCAAATTTTTGAGAGGGAGGTAATTACACTTACTTATTTATGAATTTATTTTTTTGGAGGCAGTACTGGGGATTGAACCCAGGACCTTGTGCATGCTAAGCATGTGCTCTACCATTTGAGCTATAGCCTCCCCCCTCCACTTACATTTCTTTTAGTGGGGTTGCTATTGCTGTTATATTTGGATACTTGAGGATAAAATCACTACACCCCAGAGAGAAAGCTCTACTATTTCTCCCCCTTCACCACCAACCTAAATCCAAGGGTCATGAGCACATTATTTCCCAAGTGGAGCTAGCAGACCCTCTCTTCACTTTGTAAATCAGCAGAAATTGTGTCTAAGAGAAAGTATTTGCTATTCACTGGGTGCCTGAGTTTGTGAAATTTGCAAGAAACAGAAATTGACCATAGAACTGGGACTTTATACGTTAGAGGGTATGGGATATCCTGGGATAAGGGGGGAAAACCGTGATATTAAGTCATAGCTGGGGACAAAACTTCAAGAGGGAAGATAGTAAGAAGAAATGGAGTGAGAGAAGAAAATGAATCATCCAAGCCTTTGAAAGAAGTGCCTCTTCCTCTTTAGGGTTCAAGAGAGTGAGGTGCCCATTGGCATGGTAATTGATTCCATCCATCACCATCACTCCCCTACTCTGTCAGGTTTTGGAGGAATTACCTGAACATTTTAACAAAGAACTACCTAAACCTTCATTATTATTTAATCATGTTTGGGGAGGAAAGTATCTAGAATGGGTAGGAGGTGCCCTGCTCTGATGTTCAAACATTACTCCACAGTCTTATTATGAGCTACTGGGTGCCAGCATACTAACACCCAGCCAGAGAATTACAAATATTCTCTTTATGTTACCAACCTCAGAGGGTGCTAATAAGAGGGAAGAATCTTCCCCTTAGAAAAATGATTACAGAGTCACAATAATTATTCACTCATTTATGCAATAATATTTGGAGTAGATTTTGGAAAAATTGTTGGCTTAAGCTAAACTGAGTAACTTGAAAGTAGATACTGTGACTTATCTCTGTACCCTGAATGCAACCACAGTCTCTAGATATGTGGTGGGTGCTTTACAAAATAGTTATGGAGTGAAGTACTGCACCTGTTGATCAATGAGGCTCAGTTATTGGGCTAGAATTAAATACACTAGCTATTCCACTGGGGGAATAATAGGACAGTTTCTTTTTCAAACTCATGGGCTTTCTTTTTTCAGGCTGGAGGAAGAGATGTAGATTTAACTTGAAAAGCTATGGCCAGGATCCTCCTGTGAAGACAAATTGCAGAATTCTGAGATCTCCGGGCTGAGAGAATCTTAGGATGCACTTAATCCTATCCTTTCATTTTGTGGATGAAGATGTATCAAGATTCAGCTAGCTTCCACAGAGCTTGTAAAATGTAAAAATATTCTTTTCTCTTAGAGTCTTGCCAACTGCCAGGCTAATTTAAAGGTTCGGGCTTTGTAGTTCAAGTTTCCATTTCATTTCTCTAAGTTCATGAACCCTCCCGACTGGGATGCAGGTCTGGGTGTGGTGCCCATTGTTTCCCACCCTTTCATCCTGCTTCTTCTTACTGAGCACTCAGCTCACTCCCACCTTTGCCTCCACCTCTCCTGCTGACTCTGGAAGAAGCACGCATTCCGCCCAGGACTCCCTCTAATTTCCCCCTCTACCCTCTATTATCGCCCTGCTGCAAACGGCCCCCCACAAACTGAGGACTTTGGGGGAAGAGAGCATCTTTTAATTATGAAAACACATAGTTCCCAAATCTGAACATTTTCTGAACAATAGTTGAAGGAGTTTTTGAAAACTACTGTAGTGTTTTAAAAAATACCTTGTTCATTTTACCAGAATTGGAATGGGTTGTTTGAGGAATTATGAGAAGCTGATCTGCATTGGTTTATGGAGTAGGATTTGTTGCAGTTGCAACACAGATGTGATCAGATGTTGCTGTACTTTCTTTTGATTCTTCTGGGATCCAAGTCAGAACTACGACTTTTCCTATTATACTGTGGGTTGGGGGTAGTTATCTTGTGTCCAGGCGCAAGAGAATGAGCACAGTGAATTATGAACTCTCTGCTGTAAGTTTCGGAAAATCCAACCAATACTGAGGCTTATTTTTCTCACTTAACTATAGCCTTGGAGGTGAGGGGGCAACCGGGTCAGCTGGGTGGTTTGGTGATGTTGGAGGTCTGGAAGGAAAACTTTATCTCTCCCAGTTGAGCTCTGAGTGGTAGTGGTCAGGACCTGCGAATTAACTGACAATCTGAAATTTTCTTCAGGTTGATGGGAGAAACTGTTATTACACACGCATGCAGCAGCAGCCTATGAGAAGAAGCTCTCCGAATAGCCAGGGATAAAGGGTTATGTACTTAAGGGGTGCTGGCGGTTAGGGCTTCAGTGGGAACGTCCTGATATGGGAAGTTCCGATAAGGCTTGTTAAAAGATTTCACATTTCTCGTCCAGGTGCTGATGGTCATTCCTTCCTGGCTGGAAACTCCCTGGACGGGGATTTGTGGCAGCAGAATTCTCACATTCTCTAGGTGCTCAGGGTAAGTCTCCTCCCTCTTCCTGGAGGCTGGATTTTCAGAAAGCTCTGTTAAAACAAGGGGATTTTAGAGTTTTCTCTCTCAACTGCTGTCTGTTCAGGTGTTTTCATTTTGAGGTTCGGCCTTCCCTCTGTATCCGTGAGTTCTGCTTGGAGACCAGCCTCACCTGGACTGTGTTTTGAACATCGTGGGGCTTTTCCACTCAGACTAAGCAATGATCAGGGAGTCCTGATGCTTCTCCAGTTTTCTCAAAGGTTGAATGTAATGTATGTACTTGTATCTGTGTGAGCTCTTAGCTGGTTGGTCCCTGTGGTTAAAAATAAAAGGTTGTAAAATCACTTCTATCTCCAACAAGGCCATTATAATTATTAAGACAATAATTTAGGAAACAACAGATGCTTTGTATTCAGTTTGAGGTGATATTTTAGTAGGATTGATAGGGGCTTTTTGGGCAAATGTCCGTTTTGTGGATTTTGAAAGGAACAGAGAGGTGATCTAAGGTGCCTGCGCCCACAGACGGTGAAAATACTGAGCAGACAGTGGCCATGTGCGCCTGTGGTCGTCAGGATGCTGATCAGAAACAGACTCACCTCTGGGAGACAGGAGTGGAGGGACGGTTCTGCGGGCTGGGCTGTGTCTCCACCTTGGCTTCTGAGTGTCCCACTTGTATGACGATAATTATACTCTTTACTTTAAATGAGATAATGTGTGCAAATGTGCTGAGTAAGCTGTGAGAAGTTCATCATGATTTTTCAGTACAAGCACGGGGGAAAAAAAGGTTAAATGAGTTATTCAGAAGGGTTTGTCCAGGGTCTGAAGGGGAGTCCTCACTGCTCTTCTGTCTTTCAAGAGGGTATTATCCTACACGCTTAATAATTTTCCATCTACCAACACCCGCCACCACCCCCACAATTCCTTGGTTGTAAAACCCCTACTTTTTCTTCTTAGATTCTGACTTGACCCAGGTCACTCTCTCCTACTGCAAAGCCCCATTGCAGTGATCCCTACTGCAGTGATGCTGAGTCAAATCTACCTTACCATTCCTTAACAAGTGTCATAGCAAACTTTTTCCTCTAACATATTCTGTGCTTTTCTGAGAGACAGCAGTGTTGTATCTTATTTCACAGGGCAATTTCTGATAGGTAATTTTTTCTCCCCCCTTTCCTTCCAGAATGTGTATGTGTAGTGAGATGAACTTCTGTAACTATTTCCAGAGAAGAATATAATTCAGACTGTTTGTTCCTTACATTTGGCATACTGGGAAAGGAAATAGGCAACAGAAATGTAAAATTAGTCTATTCTTTGGATAGTAAAAGTCTATAAACAGGAACACTGGGATGTCCACTCAAGTGTGCCCGTGGGAAAATATAGATCAAGGTAGAGTGGCAGAATGTGAATTGCCTCATCTAAAAATGACACAACCATTTTAGTATAATATGGGCTGCATCCTTGTCTTCTAAGCCTGGGTTTAAGAATATTTGCAACCCAGTGGTTCTAGAGTCTTGAGGGGTTTTACTGCCCTTCTGTTCCACAGTTGCTGGTTTTTCTAACATCGATGTCTGTAGCTGTCCTTGGCTTTACCCAGCACAGGTGGACTGTGGTTTCACACATTGTAGACAGATAATACATTTCTAGTATTTATTTTATTTCTATAGTCATGAGGCACTTCCAACAAGTCTCACCTAGTGAAATAGCTTATTTTCCTGAGATCAGTTGCATATGTTGATAGCAGAAGAAGCAAGAGAGATTTAAAAGATTTTTTTTTTCGGTTTGTTTGCTTGTTTCCAAACTTCATCTTGTTCAATAAGTGCTGGGAGGACCTGAAGATCCACAGCTCAGTGGAGAAAGCAGAGGGGTAGGGAAGGACTGCCTTTCAAGGCAGTTCCCTGTTCCCCAGCCATTTTATGTTTACCAGCTCTCACATTCACAGAATCTCAAGGGGATAACTTTTTGCATAGTATAAATTTAATTCTTCTAACTGTAGGTGGAAGCGAGTGAAACTCACTAAATTTGATTTTTTAGCTGTGTTTTTCTTAACTTTACCTCATAAGCAAGTTTACTTTCAAATTGCTGTTTGTTTATGATTCCAAAATTATCTTATGTTTAAATCTATTCTAATTCATTAGTTGCTTTTGGCTCTAAACATACTGATACTCGAAATTAAGAATTTTTCGTTTCATGCTCACCTCCCAGTTTGGAATCCTAAGTACATCAGGGAAGCTCTCCTAGTAAACATAGGAGGCTCAGGGGAAAAATCACGTTGATGGAAGCCCCTTCTCAATAATTTTCAAAACATGAAGGCTGGAAGATGTCTAACTGTCAGGAGCGAGGTGAGCAGCCTCATTCGTTATGTACTTTGCTGGCTGCCTAAGTGGTATTGGATCAGAGCACATGCCTTTAAAGCTATCACATCTTCCTGCTAAAGAGGTGACATGGTCGTCAAGAATTTCTGTGTCTCTGTGGGTTGTATTGGAGGCCAACCAGCTTCCCCCTTCCAGGTCTCCTAATTATAGGTTTAATGTGGGAAAATGACTCTAATAAGGAATCCTTTTCCTGGTGCAGATATTTTTAGAAGCATATTTAGATGACAGGAGTTCTGTTCAAGTATGTCCATTATGTTTAAAGGTGACCTGAGGGAGGGTGTATGTTTTCATTATTTCTCCACAGTAAAGCCAGCCTTGTGCTGGTGCAGTCAAGCTGTCACACCTGGCTCCCTTGTGATCAGAGAAATTCCAGGAGACAGAGTGACACTCACAGGCCTGGAGAGCAGATCCAATCCATGACCTTTGCCTCATTAGCAGCCTGACCCAACCAATCGGAAAAAAAGCCTGCCTTTGATTCTGTAGCACAGACATGGCTGTGACAAGGACAGTGATCACCTTCTTGGTGTAACTCCAAGAGGAAGCCCTGGTTCTCTTTGAAATGCTTTGTCAATGCAGACATACCAATACAGGGTGTCTTTTACTGTCTGTCTTTCTGCCTCTCTGGATCTCATTCCCTCTTTAATTAAAATGCCAAGATGCTCAAGTTACCCACTGATCTTATGTAAATGCAAACAGTTTTGAAATCTCTGTTTCCTTTTTCTCAGAAATGTATCAAATGCTCACAGATATGCAATGAAATCCAATATCTAGATTTTCAGATATTTTTAATTAAAATTTTTTTGACTGTTCTTTTGAAATAATCTGACACTTATAAAAAGAAATGTAGCAAAATAATACAAAGAATTTCAATATACCCTTCACCTGGTTTCCCCAAATGTTAATGTCTTATATAATCTTAGTATAATGATTGAAACCAGGAAATTAACATAGGATACTATTAAGAAATCTACAGAGCTTATTAAAATTGTTTTCCAGTTGTCCCACTAGTGTCCTTTTTCTGATCCAGAATCTAGTCCAAGATCATACATTACATTTTGTTGTCCTGATTTCTTAGTCTCCTCCAATGTAGGACAAATTTTCAGTCTTATATCTTTCCTGACTTTTGAAGAATACCAGTTAGTTATTTTGTAAAACATCCCTCAATTTGAGGTTGTCTGTGTTTTCCTTGAGTCAAATTCAGATAATGCATTTTTGGTAAGAATGTCACAATAGTGATATTGTGTCCTTCTCAGTACATCTTATCAGGGGGTACACAATGTTGATATGTCTAACTACTTGTGATGCCAACTCTGATCACTTAAGATAGGACTGCCATTATAAAGGGACTATTTTGCCCTTTGAAATTAAAAAGGATGTTGTGGAAGATACTTCAAGATTATATAAACATATGCTGTTTCTCATTATATTTACTTATATTTTTGGATTTTTGCAACTGAAAAGTGTTGGATGATCAAAGAATAACTAAACTGATGCAGAGACATCCCATGACCATGGATAGGAAGACTCAGTGTTGTGACATCAGTTCTTCTCAATTTGGTCTATAGAGTCAATGTAATCCCAGTCAAAATCCCAGCAGGTTATTTTGTGAATATTTACAAACTGATTCTAAAGTTTATGTGGAAAGGCAGAAGACCCCAAAGCACCAACACAATATCGAAGGAGAAGAACAAAGTTGGAGGACTTACACTACCTGACTTTAAGATTTACTATAAAGCTTCAGTAACCAAGACAGTGTAGTATTGGAGAAAGAATTGATGAACAGATCATGGAACAGAAGAGAGAACCCAGAAATAGAGCCACATATATATAATTAAGTGACCTTTGGCAAAGGAGCAGAAGTAATAAAATGGAGCAAAGATAGTCTTTTCAATAAACGGTACAGGAAAAACTAGACATTCACATACAAACCAGTGAATCTAGACATAAACATTAACCCATCCCCAAAATTAAGTCAAAACAGATTATAGCCCTAAAGGTAAAACCCCAAACCATTAAACTCCTAAAATCTAACATAGGAGAAAACCTAGATTACCTTGAATATGGCAATGACTTTTTAGATACTACACCAAAGGCATAATGCATTAAAGACTTAATTGATAAGCTAGATTTCATTAGAATTAAAAACGTCTGCTTTGTGAAAGGCAATGTCAAGAGAATGAGAAGACAAGCTCAGACTGAGAGAAAATACTTGCAAAAGACACACCTGATAAATGATTGTTATCCAAAATATACAAAGAACTCTTAAAAACTCAACAATAACAAACAATTAAAAAATGAGCCAAAGGCCTTAACAGACACCTGTTATCTGTAGATGATAAATAAGACCAACAAAAGATACTCCACACTGTATGTCATCAAGGAAATTTTAATTAAATAAAAATGAGATGACACTATACAGCTATTGAAATGGTCAAAATCCAGAATACTGACAAGACCAAAAGCTGACAAGGATGTGGAGCAACAGGAACTCTGATTTACTGCTATTGGGAATGCAAAATGGTACAGCCACATTGGAAGGCAATCTGGCAATTTCTTAGAAAATGAAACATACTTTACCATATGGTTCAGCATTGGTACTCCTTGGTATTTACTCAAAGAGTTGAAAACTTATGTCTAACA